AACTATCCAAACTACTGCAGCCCCACCCAAGATCAGCACAGCTTCTTCAAGGGGTGGGTATGCCTGACAAATCTGTTAGAATACTTTGAGGAGGTAACAGGCAAATTAGACAAAGGAGAGCCAGTGGATATGATCTTTTGGATTTCCAGAAGGCTTTGACAAGGTGCCGCAGAGGAGGCTGCTAAATAAAATAAGAGCTCTGGCATTCAGGTCAAGGTACTGGCATGGATAAAGGATTGGCTGACTGGTAGAAGCAGAGAATGGGGATAAAGAGGTCTTTTTCAAGATGGTAACCAGTGACTGGTGGAATTCTGGAGGATTGGGACCACAAGTATTCAGGTTATACATTAATAATCTGGACAAAGGAACTGAGGGCATTGTTGCTATGTTTTCAGATGATACAATGACAAGTGGATGGAAAGGTAGTATTGAGGAGGCAAGAAGCAGTAGGACAGGATATGACAGTGAGCAAAGAAAGGGCCAATGGTACACAATGTGGGAAAGTGTGAGCTTATGTGCTTTGGCAGGAAGAATAGAGTCGCAGACCATTTTCTAAACGGGGAAAAGCTTTGGAAATCTGAAACACAAAGGGACTTTGGAGTCTTAGCTCAGGATTTTCTTAAGGTTAACAAGCAGGTTCAGTTGGCAGAGAGAAAGACAAATGCAATGTTAGCATTCAATTCAAGAGGGCTAGAATGTAAGAGCAGAGATGTATTGCTAAGACTGTATAAGACTCTGGTCAGACCACATTTGCAATACACTGAGCAGTTTTGGGCCCCATATCTAAGGAAGGATGATAAAGTGTAGAGCTGGATGAACACAGCAGGCCAAGCAGCATCATAGGAGCAGGAAGGCTGATGTTTCGAGCCTAGACCCTTCTTCAGAAATTTCTTCAGAGATTGCTGTGGGTCTGGAGTCATATGTAGGTCAGACCAGGTGAGGATGACAGATTTCCTTTCCTGAAGGACATTAGTGAACCAGATGAGTATTTCCGAGAGCTATACATCATGATCCCTGGTGAGAGGTGTGTGCAGTGGCAGAATTAGAGTGCGTTATGGTGACCCTGTGAATTTGAAAGATCAGAGAGATAACGGTGGAACTCACCCTTACAGACAGAAGAAATCTTCTTTTGTCACTGCTGTACATTGCATTTGACCCTTGAAACTGCACTACCTGGGTCATTTTGCCATCTAGGCTGGCCGTGTATACTGGTCCTTTGTGGACTGTCAGTGATAACAGTTGAACAGCGTGCTGTGCAGCTTATGGCTTACAGCATCTGATTTAGCGTCATGCTGGGTTTTAATATGGCATCAATAGTGTGAACATTGCAAAGTAATTACACTGATGAGCACTTCTGCCTCTCCTGCCATATGATATAACGAGCCAGATACCACAGTTGGCAGTTCCATTATTAATAAGCTGAACAGCAGAAGATCAAACATAGAAACTGAAAAACATAGAAAATAGCAGCAGGAGTAGGCCATTGAGCCCTTCGGGCCAGCTCCACCACTCAACATGATCAAGGATGATCGTCCAACTCATACCCTATTCCCATTTTCATGCCATACTCTTAGGTCTCTTTAGATCTAAAAACTATATCTCTCTTCTTATTGAACACATTCAATGTTTTGCCTCAATCACTTTATTTGGCAGAGAAATCCACAGGCTTACCAGAGTTTCTCCTCATCTCGGTCCTAAATGGCCTGTCCCCAAAATGTGACACCCGGTTCTGTAAACCTAGTCATCTGGAACATCCTTCCTGTGTTTACCCTGTTTAGTCAAGCTTGTTTGAGCAAAGTCAATATGGGCCAGTTGACTCAG